ATTTGTTTTTGACAAACCCATGTTGCTTTTGGCTACTTTGTTTACTTTTAGGTGTTCGCTATTCATTGTTTGATTATCTTTTCCAGAATCTTTCCTGTTATTGAGGTCAGGCTGATAGGGCTGTAGTTTCCTGGATCTATTTTTTTCCCTTTTTTGAAGATGGGAACTACATCAGCTCTTTTCCAGCCCTCTGGCAGTTCCCCGGTGCTCCAGGATCTCTGAAAGATATAGTTCAGTGGTTCTGAGATCTTGTCTGCCAGTTCCTTCATTTAATCTGTTTTAATCAGTTTGCAGGCGGGAGGCTGGATGCATCACGTGCAGGCCACACCCACCCCAGCTCTGCAAACACAAAAAACATCACAATACATCACTTGATGCAATCGAATTTGACACCGTGCTTTAGAAGATGCATGTATCACCTGTCTCATGTAGTCCATCCCCCTACCATCAGAACTGAAGAAGCTTCTTAGATGAGAGGCAAAACATTTCAGTTTTCTTCTTCTTCTTCTTTAAGGAGAAGTCCTTCCAGTTTGAAGAAAAACCACATCTTTGAGACACCTGTCTCATAGCTGCTGCCTGATCTCGGGAAGAGATAAAGCTGTTTTGAGATGTTCTAGTTGAGTACTTCAAGTGCACTCCAAAGTTTTTTGTACAGATTAAATCAAAATTGTAACAGTTCTCATAACATACAAGTCTGTAGTATATCAATTAAAGACATTCTAGATTCCTTGCCAGGGAGGAAAGAATAACAGGTATAGGAGTGATGTCAACATGCATGATATATGAGTGTTCAATACCCCAAATACAAAAAATCTGATCCCTTGTTTACTTGCCAAGCAAACCCTACAAAGTTCAATTGTGACAGATTTAATTATTAATTATTTATAACAAGTGCGTAAACTGCCTGAGTATATGCCTGCCTTGAGTGCAGGTGTCAAATTGCACATTACCCAGATTGCCTAACAGTGCTTCTGACAAATTAATCCTGTGACTAGCTATACATATTGCCCATTCTTATATAAGAGAAGAGCCATAAACCTGTTTTAGATTACCCAAACAGAAATATGCTTAATGGAAGTAGGAGAAGAATCTTGGCAAAATACACAAACCAAGATGAATACCAAATATAATCATTTCTATGCTAATAGATTCTAAGCCATATTGGGAAAGTAGAATTAAAAGCAAACCATAAAAGCAAACATAAATAAAGTGGGTATTATAGAAAGATGTACAAAAATGACCAGAGTGGGTGATGTTATCCTTTACATGATAATGAAACAAGAGAATCAGTATTGGAGATAATATCAAGTCCATAAATTAATTTAGAATTTTATTTTTCTACCCCTCTTGAGATTGCCTGCCTGATTTTATTTTCAGTTTGATCCAGATTGATTCTATATTCTTATTGTCACTCTCCATTATATATTTCCTATGATATATTTATCCTGCCCTCATTATTAAGATACTGGATGATCCAGCAGTGTCAAGACCAAGCTATAATGATATAAAAATAAATAGGTATCTTGTGTTTTATCTTACAACAGCATGTTTAAAATAAACGAAGCATATACAGGGTAGAAGGCCAAGCCTTGAGGATAAATAGCATAGTACATTAACACACCGTTCCACCCATAATTGAAGTGAAGCTTCAGGGAGAAGATATAGCCTTGGTGTTAAAGAATGAATTGTTATTTCATATATCTCATTTGCATGCCCTCAGATGTCTAATTGGTGCCACTGGGGTTGTTCATAATTCATAAAAAGCTTAAATATTACCTGTGCCCCTAAAATTCCAGAATGCTGTTCCATAAGATTCTAACTCCAGGATTGGGCGGCCTATAAATTGATAAAATAATAATAGTAATAATAATAATAATAACAAGAACAACAACAACAACTAAAACCAGCATTAAAATTATAAATAATCAATGATTATTAGATGTGATACTAGACATCAGATTCAGTAAGACAAAAGTGATTTATTGCTAATATAAAAGAAAGCTTCTTAACTGAGCAATCTTACCATAGGAAAAAGAGTCATTACAAATTAGGTCTAGGAAATATAGTCTTGATAACCTAAGAATCTGTCTAAAATCTATATGGAGCCTGCTTGTCCCTGGAAGTGGACATTTTGTCCCAAAGATGCTTTCTCAAGAGGCAGATGAACTTTCTGGTTTTCTTTGAAGAAAAAAATAAAACCAGAAAGTCCACTTGCCTCTTGAAAAAGCATCTTTGGGACAACCATGACCTGGATGACTGAGAATGTCCATAGACATTAAGTAGACATTTCCTTATAAAATCAGGGGTTTTCACAGAAAATACTGAAAGCATCCAACTCATTGCCCATGTGAATGAAAACTGTTTATGGGGATAGAAAACAATCTTGGAATCAAATGTACTTTTTCAATTGATTTTCTAGATAGCCTAAGCTTCACTGTACTAAACCAATATTAGTGGGTGCACACTCTTCCTACGGAGCAGGACCCTTCACTTTGGACACTACAGAGGAAACCGGCAGCTGGAACTGGAAGGATGTACCGGCTGCCTAGTATTGCTTTGCCTGCTGCAGTAAATCTTGTTTGGATGGCTGATGTTCAGGAATGTAGAGAAATGACAATTAGTTTCATCTATACCTTAAAACTACCAGACCAATCCGCCACCATCTTCCCCTTCTTTTGTTCTTCAAGGTACTACTGTAAATCTGCTCCCCGTTGTCATGGTGTCGGGAGTCCTGGACGCCATCCAGGACGCTCCCCCCCCCCCGTCCATTGGCAGCCACGTGCCTTTTTCGCCTTAACCTTTTTTCCCCCCTGAAGGCTGCTTGTGTCACAGTCGCAACTCGCCTCTCAGATGACCCCTCCCCCCCTCCTCGCCTGAGAGTCTCTAAGTGGTCAAACGGCTTGGAGGGAGGGAGACTCAGTCCCGCCTGCCGGGAGGTGGAGATGGGGATTGCCCCACGGAATGATCTAGGCAGCCTGGCTAGAGCAAGCGGTCAGAAGGCGTCCGGGGGCTTCTGGGAGCGGCTTTCGGCACGGGAGGTGGAAGGAAACTGATTTCACCGCCGCCTGATCTTCTCATCTCTCTCTCTCTGAGGACTTTTTGCTCCTTGCAGCGGGCGAGACTGAGGAGAACATCTCCAAAACTCAATGTCATAGCGGTCCACGGGCGGAGCCGTCGCCGAGAAGCCGATTCTGAAGTCAGTGGACGACGGCAGGGAAAGAGGAGAAGTCGTCCCGAGAAGTTGAAAGAACCCGGAGCTGCAGAAACCCTCCTTTTGCCTTGAAGCCTGAGGCGATTGCGAAATCTCGCAGCAGGTGCAGCGGCTAAGAGAAAGAGAGAGAGAGAGACCACCTTCCCTCCACGCACAGCTACCGCCGCCGCCGCCGCGGACTCGAAAGATAAAACGAGAACGCGCGCAGAGATCACCCGCTTCGTTTTACAGAGAACGAGAAAAAAAAACCTTATCGCCGCGGGAAGAGAAGAAAATAATAATAATAACAATAATAAAAAAAATAAAAAAAATACTTCTATAGCTGCAGAAAAAAGAGCATTCAAACACTCGGGAAGCCGATTTGGACCCTAGGTAAGTCAGCGCAGCCCAATGCACTGGTGAGAAAGCGGAGAGAAAGAGTACCTTTCGCTCTGACGAGAGCGCGCGCCAAAAACAGAGGAGAGGGTTGCTGAAGGTGAAGTTGGCGCCGAAAGCGAGGTGGGCGAGGGTGGGGCAAGTGAGAAAGTTGGAAGAGGATGCGCGCGCCTGTGCGAGAGGTGCAAAAAAAAGAGGGAGGGAGGGTGGAGTTACGCGCGCACCGGGGCGAGGAGGGCCGGCTAGGGAAGGCAGCTCGCCAGAAACTTGACTTTGTGGGTACATGAACCCCGCGGCGGTGGAAATTGGCTGAAAAGGTGTGGGGAGTAACGAATGGGGGATGTGCGGCCGGGAGAGGAGCGAAGGATGCCGGAGGTTCCGATGGGGTGGTGGGATAGAGAGTTTAATATGGAGGGGGCGCATATCCTCTTCTCGGTGCGGGTTGCGCGAGCGCATCTGCCCCCTCCTAAATAAATCGCAGCTGGCGAGTCACCTGGACCTCTGACGGCCTCGCCTCGCCGCAGCCTGTTTCTGACCTCGGCCGTTTGGAGGGTAGAGCCAGATGTGCTCTGAATTGAGCCTTGGGGAGCGGCCTTTCCTTCCTCTTTCCCGGAGCTGCGTCCCCAATTACCTGCCTTTGCCGAGTCCAAGCGCCCCGTCCTTTCGCGGCCGGGCCTCGCTGCCTATAGGGGGCAGTCTCGTTTCCTTCGGGGGTGGAAGGCTGCAGCCGAGCGCGGAGAGAGGACTGGGGGCCGACAACCTCAAGGGGTGAGAGGCTTCTTGTGGGGGAAAAACTGTAGGGGGAGTAGGAATGCGGAGCTAGCTGGAGGATGGAGAACATCCTGTTCTGGCCTTGGGTGCTGAGGCGAAACTTCACTCCTTCGGTGGCAGGGGAAAAATGGATGAGATGCTGGAGGGCAAGGTTATTCAGGGTAAATAGTATAATAACACACCGGCCCCATCCCTGGTCGAAACGGGGCTTCAGAAAAAGGATACAGTATTGTTGTGCTTTGGCGCTAAAAAGCGCAAGTTGGTGGTTATTTTAGGAAGAAATGAAACCCCATCTTTGAACTTCAAGGAAGTAGGACCGGAAAAATAGGTGATTCCTGATAAGTCTGGCCATGCTAAACCAAGGTCGCTAAAGGAAAAAGAAGAAAAATGAGAAAAGTTGTCTGGCTGGGTAACAGTGGGTCAGATGGGGAGCTGAAAGAAAATTAGTTTTAAGCGGGGAGCACCCAAAGTTTTTTTTTTAATCCAGGCAAAAAGTTAAATCCGAAAATCCTGGATGAAATTTACCGGCCTTTCACAGATCATTGAAAGGTATTGGTTTTCCCTCTGGAACTGCAGAAAAGGGAGCAGAATATGAAAGATATTATGGCCAGAAGATTAAATATAATTAAAGTGAAAAATGGGGGCTATATTTGGTGCTTATTAATGCAAGATTTGGTTCCGGTCCTTGGACAAAATGATAATGGAAGGACATATATTTGTGCACATACTGAAATGGATCAGGCGGTATAACCAAGGCCTTGTGACTTTAGGAAGATGAAATGTCAGGTGCAATTTGACTTTGCTGACATTCTTCAGCTATGCTACTGCAGTAATCAACTCCTTACTATCTGTTTCTTCTTATTGCTATTGAGTCTTAACATCATTTGTACTTCTCAGAATACTTGGCATGTAAGGTATTTATTATTTTCCTATTAGATTTTCAGGCTAAGATAACCAATGATAACTCTGCCTTGCCTTTTTATCAAAAATTTTAAACTACGGTAATTGTGTGGAGAGAGATTAGTGACATTATGATTCTAACATTAAAAGTGAAATGTGAACGCCTAGTACATGTTAATTGCTAAATAATGTTTCATGTAGAATAAATCAATTAACAAAACAGATATAATGAATTGTATGTATATGGCCTGCTTAGGCAAGCATTCAGACATGTTAAAATATTTTCATGCCACAAAATTGTCCTTTCAAATTAAGTTAAAGAGGATGGAATGATTCATGAGCACATGTGAAATATTGAGAACATGATATGGAGATGTTTATAAAGGGCAGCCATGGGAAATGTTACCAATTCACAAAATAATAATTTACCAGAATACAAATATTGTTAGTACTCCCCCCTCCCACCCTCAAATGTCCCATTTGGATTCTCTCAATTACCCAGCTTACCTTTTTTTTACATCCCAGGCACTTTTCCAAAAAAATCCTCACAAAACTACTGCAGTTACTTAATATTGTTTTCTAAGAATGTCTTATTAATTAAATTTATATGTTGTCCATCTCTCAGTCACTTATTCTTTAGCCCTTTTGCCTTATGTCATCACATTATGCACATCAAATTCTGTTTCGCAACAGTGCCTAGAAAGAAATAGATCCTCACTATGACTAGTATTACCAATTGAACCTTAGCCTATATACATTCATTTGCAATTGTTTTGTATGTGAATTATGTTTATTTCCAAATGATAAAGGTATAGTTTTTTTCACTTTCCATTTTCATAAATGGTTTAGGCTAAAAAAAAACTGCATGCTGAACTTAATACAGTACATACAGTCTCTTTGCTCATAATTCTGAAATATTAAAACATTATAGAGCTTGGTTGACTGAAGCAAGGTAGTGTGCAGAAAGAGAGGAACATAGTGTATGTACATTGCCATGACATATAGGATTAAAGCTGCTATGCAGTGGAGGAGGAACATAGTGCACTATCATGGTCTTGTTAGGCTAAGAAAAATGTCATGGGATAACCCTTAGTAGGGGTATATAGTTGCCCCTACCTGGGATCCTGTAGCCAAATTTTGGGCACCTGGCTTCAAGCTGGTTAGTACTGATTTGGTAGTGGACAGATGGGCAATTTGGATTATATCACTGAGAACCTATTGAGAGAAAACAGTGAGGTTTTCTTAGGAATCTACCCAGCCAGATTTCAGCCCGTAGTAACTTCATTGTCAAGGCTGGGATAGTGTTGATCTACTGTGATGTGTTATCTGCAGCAAGGATTGCTATTCCAAATGTGAGTGGATATGAATATGTATCCAGTTAGATAGTAGGACAAGCAAGGTATCCTTTTGGTGGACCACTTGCTGTGCCCTTCCTTAGGATCCCTTCCTATGTGACTAGACCTGGTTGCTAGACAGTAGGTAGAGATTTCCCCCTTGCCAGGGAAACTTCAGTCTCCTGGTGGAAGGGACTGAGTCTTGTAGTGCTAGGAATTTCATTGGCCTCTACGACAACCAAGAGTCGATCCTAGGTTATATTGGCTCCGTTGCATGTAGACATCACGTATTAAACTTAGGTTTTATATCTGATTACAATTGTGTAATCTGGTTATGGATGTTACTATTATCTGCCCTTTGCCATGAACAAATCACTTACTAATCCAGATGCCACTTATTTCTTCTGCAGGACCTGACCCATTTAGATGCCTTCTTCCTCTGGTCAATCCTCTTGTTTACTGAGAACTTCCATGAGATAAGGTGGCAAAAATAATGTCCAGTGAATAGGTAGAAAATAGGGTACACTAAATTTTACTGAACAGGGTTGTATGTCCCAGTGTCGCCCTGGCCTACCCCAGCTACGCTCATCCAGTCGGCCACGACAACCAGGCCACGCCTACCCCAGCCCCCCAAAGGCAAACAAAATCCCACAATGGGATCGAATTTGACACCCCTGCTCTATGGCATACCTGTTTCTACTTTGTTACTGCTTTGGCTGGTTATCATCTGGTAGCCTTTTGGGGGTGGTTAATTCCCTTTTGGAAAGGAGCTACCATGTGTCCTCTGTGACTAGTTTGCTCAATGTTTTGCTTTAATTTTTATTGTATTTGAGATCTATTGGGGCATTTTGCCAGGTTACTTGCATTTCATTTTGGCCTATTACCTCTGAGAAAGTTAATAGGGTGCTCTCTAAAATGTCCTTGGATCCTTGTTCTTCTTGGCTTCTTCAGAAAGCTAGGAAGAGGAGGTGAGCAGGTTGTTCCCTGGATCTTAGAGGCTGTGAAAGCCTCACTGCAGCATGGGTTGATGCCTGCATTCCTTAAAGAGGTGTTGGATTGCCTCTTTAATGGGCCATGTGTAGATTTGCAAATATTAGATAAGTGTCTAATATCTACCTTTCTCTTCTTAGCAAAGATTATAGAAATAATGGTTTGCTATTATCCCAACCCTCATCTGTCAGGATTCAGAACTAGGTATGAGACAAAGATGGTATCAGTTGATTGATGATATATGTCAAGACCATTACAGAACTAGTGTGTGCCTGTCCTGATCTCTTTGGATACACTAAACATGGGATTTTTCTGCATTGAATGAGGATTTGGGAAGTTGTTTTATAGGGTTCTGCTCCTTCCTCAGTAGCTGGTTCACGTCAGTGGTGGTATGGTGTAGGATTTGGCCCAGTGGTTGCTCTAATTATTGGATGCAGCAGGATCTTTCTCACATTCTTCCCAGTTATTGAACATTCACATGAAGCCTCTATGGGAGCTCAACTGGCAATATGAGGTTGATATCATAATTATGACCTGTTATATGTTGGAAATGTTATTAAAGTTTTTTTTCAATGTCTGGAGACTATGAGGGTCTGGATGGGAGATAACAGCTTAATTGTACCCCGCAAGGTGGAGCTATTTTTTGTACATGAATTCCTTTATGTTCTCTGTTTTGTCTGGATGAGGGTTGTACTGCCATAAAAGCATATCTGTGATGTAGGGATTTTCTTGGACTCCAGACTTCATCAGGAGGTGGAAGCCATGGCTGGGGGTGAGGGTTTTGCACAGTTTTGGCTGGTATGGTAGTATCTGATTACTTGATGGGGAACCTTGGCACACATGCCAGAGGTGGTATACAGAGCTCTCTCTGCTGGCACGCATGCTGTTGCCCCAGGTCAGATCTCTGTGGCGTTTCTTTCATGAGCTTCTGTTTCCCTGCAAATGACGAAACAAAAGCTCACGAAAGAAAAAGATCTCAGCTCTTGCCGCGCTGCCAGTGCTGGGATGCCCCGCCTCCCACCAGCCAGCTGGTCTTTGGGTCTCTGTTGCGCATGCGTGCATGTCCATGCATACGTGCGTTCACCTTTCAGTTTGGGCATGCACATGTGCACAGTTTGGATAGATAAAAGGTTCACCA